GATTGCGAAGTCCATGGGGTTCAGGTCTGGGCTTGATGATGGCCGAATCTCTTTGTCCCAGAACCCAGGCATGTGGGTCTTCCACCACGGTTGAGCGAGTTGGCCGTTTGCGGCGGCGCACCGTCCTGGACGAAGACGTATCCGTCTCAGAACGACTGAGTGACCCAAGGCAAAGCATGTTCCTCCAGCAGATGGACTAGAACCCGTGAATTCACTTTCACAGCCTCCTTGATAAAGAACAAGGTTCCTTTTGAGCCGTCGGTTGCGACGGCAGCCCAAACCATGGCACCAGCAGGCTTCAAGCAACAACAAATGGTGCGAATAGCAGGATCAATGCTGGATGGACCATCTGCCAAAATTTTGACGCTTTGGGAGTGTCTCTGGGGCTCAGGCATGAACATGTTGTCATTGGACCAGCAGAATGCCTTGTTACCGGCGCTCCTGATCTCCTCCAATGTCTTTTGGATCCTGTGTAGCCGCTTTTCCCGGGATGCCGCCGAAATTAGGTGTCGACGTTGCATCCTGTATGACATGAAGCCTGAGCCGTCGTTTATGATTCTCTTGGCGGTTCTGGGCTAAAGAACGAGTTCACTTGGCAGTTTGCGCATGCTTCGCCTAGGAATTGAAACACCTTCTTGTGCACGATATTAACTAGCTTTTTGAAGCGGAAATCCCTTGTTCTGCCTGGCATATACTTCGACGACACTAACACTGTCTTTTTAAGTCATTTAATTACACTGCAAACAGTTTTTACGGTAACACCGAGCTGTTTGGCAACGCTTCGGGAGCTGTGGCCAGCCTACTTCAGCGCCGCAATTTGGGCTCACTTAGTCATCTTCGCGATAGCTCACCAACAACTATTACAAAATGTAAAAACGATCTGAATGTTGATACATGAGTCAGTTGGGAAGCTGCATGCAAAATTTTATCAAAATCCGTTCCTAACTTTTAAAGTTATTGACTGATAACAAACAGGTAAATCTTTCTGCCCCACCCTGTAAGTAAACCAAAAGAGCTACAAATTCGCAGCCAAACCTATTCGATAGCTCATTCAAAGCTTTTTTCCTCGATAGAATGCCCTCCTATGTGTCCTGGACCTCAGGCCAAGCAACGGCCTGGCTTACAGAGGGAGAAAACCGCCGAAAACAGACGAATTCTACCGAAACAATGTTTCTGCAATAGCTTTAAGCTATTGTGACATCTAATTAACCGCCAGCAAATTTATTTGTTATTATTGATTTATTTTATTTCAATTTTCCCTTAATGGGAAAGACATTCGCAAACCGGTCGATCCGTATTTTTTTATAGCTGAACACATTACAGGCGCTTTCATCACTCTACGTCTGTCTACGTCTCCATCAAAAGCTATGATCGAAAAAACTGCTGGTGACCTTAACCCGCGCCCCACTGGAGGGGGGGGGGGGCTATTCATAGCCCCCTCCCGTTTTTCTGCAATAACTTCCAAACCGCTTAACGTATCGACGCCAAGCTTTCCGTACCTTCGGCGGTATCAATTTGACACCTTGTGTCAAACTATGAACTACGTAGCTACCTCAGGTCGGCCGGAAATGACGTCAGAGTGAGGTCATGTTCGGCCGATTTCGACGCAAAACATTGAACCACGGCAATCGCTCCCAAGAGCTCAGTTTTTAAGCTAGATCTAATTTCATTGCATGAGAGGACTAAGAATAGACTGCGCCATCTCAAACTGCTATCTCGGATTTTCAAAATTGTGATATATATTTAACCCTCGCCGGCCGAGGGGGGGGGGGGGCGGGTGCCGCACCCTCATAGGGTTTTTTCGCGATAGCTCCGAACACACTGGTGATAGAGAGCTGAAACTTGGCATACCTGACCTTTGATCCAAGCCGCATCTTTTGACACCAACTGCATTTTTGGGTCAGGTCAGGTCACTGACCTATGACGTCATAAGTGAACCTCTGCACGGTCTTCAGATGTCGCAACTTCGCAGCGCCCTCACTGCCAGAGGAGATGTCACAGGGAAATGAAACTTGCAGGATCTAGTATCCATTATGAGTCTCACAACTTGTATATCTCGGATTTTTCCTAAAGGTCATATGAGGTCAGGTCATTTTCGTGACCTCACCATTATAAGTCAATGGGGAAAAATTCAAACTGCTATTCTGGCGCCGGGAACGATCTCCAACTATCTCAAGCACACAGAATCGTGATTTGATGCACTCCTTGCAAGGTTAGATGCGTCACTTTTGCAATGTTGACCTTGCGTGACGTCATTTATGACGTCATCAAGGTCATATTAGTTTTTCGTCAATAACTCTTGATCAAATTGAGCTAGCGAGTCGAGAAAGCCACCAATGGACTCAGGAAGACCTGCCGAATCGAATGATATGCGACATGACCTCTTTCGACCAACTTCGTGACCTGGGGGTGCTGACCTGACCTTGACCTGAGGTCAACACCCCAAGTTGACCTGACCCGGACAAAAAGTATATCATTCGACGCGCCTGAGCGAGGCGAACACGATGCTGCCAAAATCGCGGCTCTGCGGCCGTTTTTTGCGAAGTTATTCACCAAAAACTGAACCGTACCCTGGGGCACTTGACCTGACCTCAGAGGTCACCGGTTGACCTAGGACCTTAAAATCGGGTACCAATCTCTGCGTCTCGTAACGGTGTACACGCTCGTTTTTTCCGCGACGCGCTAGCTCCACCAGGGGCGAAACGGCGAGGGGGGGGGTCGTACTCGCCCCCCCCCCCTCGGCCGGTGCGTATGTAGAAAACCAATAGGTCCGGCGAGGGTTAAATTCAAAATTCATATTTTTATCTTTTTTCAAAAAGCTTCTAACATAAAAAAAAAACGGATTAGATGTGATAAAACATATGCTTTTGACTTACTCTAGCACGTTTTAGCCAGATATCTTCAAAAATGGCTAAATTATACGCATTATAGCAAAAAATTCACAATTATATTTTTTTAAATCATTTTTTCAGTATGTATTTGACATCGTACACCAATATAAATAGCAGCATCGTGTTCCTGAGCTCAATCTGCATCTGATAGACACCTTTTTGTTGAAAAATTTAAACTTCAAATTTGAACTTTTTTGACCTGAAAGTGACCTGACCTAAGCTAAATTCGACTCAAAATGACCTCGAATGACACAGACGATTTCAAATTCGGAATATATGGCCTAAAAGGACCATAAACCATGTGTCACGTGACCGACGCATGATATAATATTTCCGTGACCTGTGATGACCTGACCCTGACCTGAAAATCAAAGTACAAGTTTGGTACCCTCAAGGTATTTAGAGCATCTGTTCACGAGTGTGTAAACCAAAAGTGAGCCTGATCTGACTTGTAAGCCGGGGGGGGGGGGGCAGAGCCCAAAATGGCAACAAGCCAAACATTGATAGTTTTTGCTTTGACCTAACCTGTGACGTCATCGGTGACCTCGAGGTCAATGAAATTACGCTTCGTTCGACAGTTTTTCCGGGACTATCAGACACCATTTGAATTTTGACGATCAGCCCAGGAGTTTTGGAGTTAGGAGGGGGGCTATGAAGAGCCTCCCCCCCCCCAGTAAAGCGCGTTATACGCAGACCCCAGTGGGGCGCGGGTTAATGACCAAAGGTGACATTTCGAGCGGCCTCTTGCTATCAGCTGCGCCTTTTAGTTGCACATGGGTGGACATCATAACTGTGTACATCAATGTTCAGAGAATGCTCCGTCGTGTCTCTCTCTGTATTTGACTCTTCAATGTTTTATTAGTTGGATTTGCGCGATAGGTACGTAATGACAGCGTCAAACCTCTGAAACCTATGATGTGCAGTGGTGAGTCCATACCTAAAGTATGCCGGTATATGCAACCTCCATCCGTATTTGTGCCACGCGATGCGAACATTGACATTGGTATTCCCATATTTAGGCTGCTCCAAACAAAGGATTGCTGCTCACATGTATTTTAACGGAACAAAATACATTGAGGCGACTTCACGTCAATACCCCAAGAATGTTACAGATCATGTAGTTAAATACAAAAAAAGAAAGGACAAAATCGCAATAACATCGCAATCGCACGCATCTTACCACGACAGACTATCTTACAGGAGGAAGGCTTCATCACACAAACATTTAGGAACTACATACATCTAATCTGTTGAGGGAATTGCACATAACAGATCTATTTCAAGAAGGCAACCTTAAATACAGGACTCACATGGCCGGTTCAGCGACAGAACCCGATGTTCATCCACATTTTACAGCCAAACTTATATCAAAATGGAAGTCTTTTATCTTATTTGATTGCAACATATCCGGTAGTATCCTTATGAATCTCATAAGAGGAATTGTAAAAAGAACACTGACCTTCTTTTTCAATATAAGCAATGCATGCGATAAATCGAATACAACAGTCAAGTAGAAGCCTTGTCAATGGTTTCTCTCTGAGTTGGCAAACGTTCACGTCTAAAGCTTTCATCGACCACAACTGCTGAATGCGACTCCATACAGAACACTGTTGACTGTACTGCATCTCACACTTCGCAATTGGTTGTATTTACATCAGGAAGCGCGCACAGATTCAAATTAAATAAATAAAATAACAAACGATTTTTGTACGGTCACCCCTGACCCCATCAATAAAGGAATACATTCTACACCTGTGATAGCATCCACTTGACCATTCAATAGGCGGACACGCATCGTGCGGGCTTTCAGAAATCTAGAATGAGCTTAAGCTTCTCGTCTTCCCTGCACAGTCAAGGAAATACAGAGCAAACCACTGGGCCTACAAACTACTCTACATAAGCAATCAAGCGCAAACGCATTTACTTAGTCAGTCTCAGGAGTTCCCTGATTCACGAGACAGCTCGCTGCTCGGCCTCCTAAGAAGACAGTTGAACGCACCGTTCATGGAAATATCACTGCAGTGTTAACAGTTTCAGCATATGGTGACGGTTGCGGCGACGGAGACCTTGACATGCGGTTCGAATAGAATGCTCGCCTAGAGTACTTTATCAGGATGTGTTCGTGATCGTGACAGAGGTGCCGGCCTCCTGCAGCTGCCTCGTCAGGCTGTGGATGTCCCTGATGGTGGGCGGAGACATGGCCGGGGCCGTGCTTCCCGCCGTCGGCGAGCCCTTGCCAGAGTCCCGCGCACGCTCCTCAGCAGACCTCTGACGAAGGAGGGACGGGTTCGGGATGGCGCGCACGTTCTGGCTCTTGGGCCTCTGTGGCAGCGGAGGAACGGGGAACACCGGTCTGGAGGAGGTCGAGGAGGTGGTGGTGGTGGACGGTGCCGGCCGGGACAGGCTGGACAGGGGCGGCACGGCGCTGCCGTAGCGCAGACCCAGAGAGGCCGTCTCAATGTGGAGCGGTGAGGATACCGGGCGGACGGGCGTCACGGCCGCTGACCTCACCGGCACGGTACTGGGCGTGACAAACGTGACGCTGGTTGTCACTACTGGAGCTTTCGAGACGGCAGGTGAGGTCTGTGAAACGGCTTGAGAAACAGGCGCTGAAGCTTCACTTACACTCTGAGATTGGCTTGAAGAAGATGACATCATCCTCTTTTGAGCTAGAGACTCAACAATTGACTGAATTTTGTTGGAGCACGGCGGCCTTTTAGAACCTGAGATCACAAAAATTGTCTTCGAGTCTTTGGTTGTGCTAATCCCTGATACCGAGGACGTTTCTCTGGCGTGCGTTGACAGGTCAAGCACTCCCGCGGAAGGTCGAGAAACCAGAACTTTGGCTACAGCTTTTTCCTTCGCATCACCTGACGATTGTGATACGGGTTTAGCTGCAGGTTTAGACACATTCTCTGGCGGTTTACCAGACTTGTCCTCCGCTGAAGATGGTTTTCGTGCAGCAGACGAGGGCGTGTTAGTTACATTGGAATTGGTTTTCCCTGCCTTTACCGCATTTTGCTTAGAAGAATGTATCCTATAAACAGGAACTGTTTGCACAGAACAGTCTACCTTGCTCACTGACGGTTTCTTCTCTAGAGGCTTGACTTTGGATGTCGCGGATGCTTCCCCAGTCTCCATCTTCGAAGGTGGCACACCTTTCACTCCAGAGGGTTTGGGCGTCACTGACGAAGCTCCCGTAGACGTTTCTGTCTTGTTAGTTGCCGGTAGCGTACCATTTGTGGCTTTGGGCGCTGGGTTCGTCGAGGGAACCTTTTTATCGATACGTTCATTCTTCGTCATGCTCCCTACACTGACAGACCGAACGGTGGCTGCCGCCTTGGAGTTTGCTGCCGACGCGGCCAGTTTCATGGCCTTCTTGCAGGCTAAATAGGAGTGGCCAAGCTGAGTACCCGGCGGCCAAGGAGTGGCGGGCTTTTGGCCGGGGGTATTAGACTGAGAAGAGGGAGGAACCTGGATCTTTTGGCCCGATGTAACCGGAACTTGGTTCAGTTTGACTGTCGGAATTTTCACGTTCGTCTTCACTCCCTGATTTGAACCATTTGTCTGGCTTTTGCTTACACTGTTCGTTTTCTGGCTAGGTTCAGGCCGAGGAGTCTTCGGCTTCTGGCCACCGTCTGTCGCCTTCTGAACGGAGTTGTCCATCTTTGGCAGCACTCCTGCTCTAGGGGACTGTGCCACGGCTGCAGCGGGAAGCTGATGGGCCGTTTTCTGGCTCGCGGGAGCCGGTGAAACCCTCGGCTGAGTGTTGGGCCTTTCTCCTGACTTAGCGGGCCTTTCTTCCGCCTTGGCGGCCGTGCTCGCAGACTGGCCTGTCACCCTTGGGCTTGGGGGCACCGCCGTGGAGGGAGGAGAAACGCGCGTGGTCGATGACTGAGCCACAGGAGAGTCTGACGACTTCGCGTTGTTGTTTTTGGCCATCTCAGATTGCTTGTCTGTTTTACCATCTTGGCTCGGAGTCAGATTGACCCTAGCGTCATTCTTTGGGATAGACGCTTGCTCATCGGACTTCAGTTTCTTCTCCGGTGGCTCTACAGGGGATGATGTCTCACCCGGAGCGCTGGCCTTTCGCTTTGTTGTGGACTTTGGTTTCGATATCCGAAAAAGCAGCTTCAATGCCGATTTCTGCAAAAGATTGAGCTTATTAACAACAAGAATCGCCACCCATTAGATTCCACGAATATCCGAACATGCAAGGAACATATTTCTGTAATACATACACGTGTCCAATAAATGATAATCAACTTTCTTTTGTCTCGAGTATGCTGCGGGACTTACCCTGCTCCAATTGATGATGTAAGCGACGTCAAGCAGCTTGATGTCGGCCGGTAGGACCTTCCTGCCATGAATCAGCTCCATCTGTAATGGTTGGGACACAATGAGTATCACGGCGGGCCAGGATCAGAAGCGAGGATAAAAAATAAAACACCGCTCACAGTGCACAGCTAATATTACAAGCACACGGTTAAGAGGCCGCGGAGCGTGACCTGTAAGCGCCATACATACCCTGCCAAGTTGACTTAGGAAAATATGCAACTGCACTCAGCTGTTGTAGATCACATCTTTCATACAGCTGATACTGAGAGCAGTTCTCACCTGAAGAGAGTCTGAGAAACCGTACTTCTGGAATAGCAGCTTCTTCAGTGTGGACAATGGCAGCCCAGCCGGACAGCGGAAGTACCGCACAGGAACAACCTCTTCCGGACTGAAAAGAAGATGAATAGCCGTTAACACTCATTTATCAAACCTAGCACTGAAAAAATCGCACGGCAAACACAACTCTCAAAGTTGGGAAATGTATGTCGACATTCCTACACCGATATAGTTTAAGGTAAATATGGAATGAGAGGTAAAGCTAACGTACTTGTGAGAGGCGTACTGGATCCGCACGTCAATCGTGTCATCCGGTGCGTAGTACCGACCGGCGCCCTCTTCATAGCAGCCTTTCGATGACGGTGCGAGTTCCGCGTCTGAAAACATTCGCATGCCATGGAATATTCAAGCAACCTCAAACCCAAACTGCCCACATGGTTCAGTCTTAATTTCCCACAGCTTATGCTTCAGACGTCACATGTATGACGTGAAAGAACCGGCAATGTTCAGCCTGTAAACTCCAAAGTGCACTGAAAATGGCAATGAACCTTTTATCCGTATATCATAAAAAGCACGGGAACTCCTGCCAGGCTGCATAACACATGACATAACAAAAACTACTGCCACTGCACTGACCGGCATCCGGCTTGTCGGCGTAGAAAAGCTGCCGTCGCTGCATTTCATCACGGTGCAGGCCTGGTACCGTTTTGTACACGATACTCTGCAGAGTGGCGTCGGGCCTGAAACGGAAACGGCGGCTTAGTGCAACCGGGTCCGGTATTCCGCAGATTCAGATAAATGACAGAGGGATATTGTTTTTATAAATTTAGTCCGAATGGTTGAATGGGTGGATTTGAGGAATCAGAGCCCGCACTAAGCCGAGGATTGTGCGAAAATCGCTACGGTGACCCAGAAATGAGAGTAAATAAAAAAGGTGCATGTATGAGATAGAGGTGGATGTAAATTGAGAGAGGCAAGAAACGGAAAAGAAGGAAGAGTTGGAGAGGAGGGGACTGATCGAGGAGGGAAACGGAAGGATAACACTGTGAGGGGCGGAACAGGGACGAGAGAGAGAGAGAGAGAGAGAGAGAGAGAGAGAGAGAGAGAGAGAGAGAGGAGAGAGGAGAGAGGAGAGGATAGGAGAGGAGAGAGCGAGAGCGAGAGCGAGAGCGAGAGCGAGAGCGAGAGCGAGAGCGAGAGCGAGAGCGAGAGCGAGAGCGAGAGCGAGAGCGAGAGCGAGAGCGAGAGCGAGAGCGAGAGAGAGAGAGAGAGAGAGAGAGAGAGAGAGAGAGAGAGAGAGAGAGAGAGAGAGAGAGAGAGAGAACAAACAGTGAGGTGGACAGAGCGGCGGAACATCTTCCGACGCTCAATTACGTTCGACAGTTCGGCGCTGGCAAAACATGCCATACCATTTGCAACGGGTGGCATAAGAACCTGGACTCTGGTGGTCATCACTGTAGAAAAACAGCAGACCACAGGCGGAGAGTTTGTTTATCAAAGGCCAATGAAAACATAGAGGGGAATGTGGTTTATGTTAGCCACCGACAACAGACATTTTAGATGCCGAGGGTCAGAGGTCCAAGTCGAATACCGGGACCGGGACCGGAATGGATGCTCTGTAGCGACAAAAACACCAGATCCATTCAGGCTACTAAATCCATTCAGGTTTCAACAGCCTCTTCAACAATATTTCGGTGGACAGGCAGTACCAATATCTACAGTAACTTTATAACATTTGACGATGACTGGGACTGGCCTCACCTCAGACTGATGGCGCCCTTGGTCCGATGAATCATGACATCACAGGTCAGAGCAGGACAGTAACTGCTCGTCTCCAGGTGTCGCAAGATGCATGACCGGCAAACTGAAACCACACGACCACGTGTCACAAAATTGACACAATCGAGCCTGTGAAGAGCTTACATTCAACTTTCCTACATTTCGAGTGTCTTTACGAAGTGATCCTCGATTAGTCTTCGGCAACGCATCATCCGTTCGGCCTCTGTTCGGCTCACCATCAGCCAGACCAGGCGGACGGCGATACACCTCACTCAGCCGCCGACCTCAGCGCAACAGCGGCCATCCGGCAACGACGATGCTCCAGCCCGGTCGGCCACTGCTCGTTCGCTGGTCATCGGACACGCAAATGTCCGTTCACTGATGCCCAACATGGACAGTGTCCAGCAGACTCTATCTGATCACAAAATTGACGTTTTTTGTTTAACTGAGACCTGGCTATCTGAAAACGTCAAAAAGAAATTTCTGGCATTCCCTGGATATAAAATGGTGCGGTGCGATCGTCCGGGGGCGGGAACTCGTGGAGGCGGCGTTGCCATTCTTTACCGCGAACAATTAAAATGTGATACTCTCTCGATTACCAGTGACAGTGTTTCTAGTGAATCTCTGTGGGTCTCCATCAGCGGGGGAGGGAGACGCTCAATCACTGTGGGTGTCTTCTACCGCCCACCCTCTCAGCCGACCGCAGCAGGTTTGGACAGTCTCCATCTCCAACTACAAGCCGCCATCGCTACTGGTCGGCCTGTGTTCTGTCTTGGTGACTTTAACGTGAACCTCCTGTGTCCCTCTGCTCCAAGCACGCGTCTATATACATCTGTTTTAAGTGATCTTAACCTCTCACAGCTCATCAGTTCCCCTACTCGATTCAATCCACCCTCCACTCTCGATCATATCATCACAAGCCTGCCCATTTCGGAATGCTCGGTAACAATACCTCCGGTGCCCATAGCCGACCATATGACTATCTTGGCCCGCGTTCCACTCCGTCGTCATAAATCACCGCGCCAGTCTTTTCAGATCCGCCCCTGGCGAAAAGTTAACTGGGACGCGCTGTGTCTGCATCTGTTACAGGCCGACTGGCAACCTCTGTATCGGGCGGAGGGGATCGAAAGCAAATTAGAGGAATTCATGAAAGTATGGCTCAGCGCTATTGATATTTACTGTCCAACTAAAACTGTGACGCCGCGCCGTCCACACTGTCCTTGGGTTGAAAATAACCCGGAACTGCGAGAGATCATGGACGAGCGGGACCGTGCTTTTACAATCTGGCGTGCATCTGGTGCAGAGTCTGATCTGTCAACGTACCGCCACCTTCGAAACCGTGTCAAGCGTCTTCTTGCCAAATCCAAGCGGGATTACTTGTGTTCTTCAATGCTATCGGACCGAACAAATTTTTGGAGGAACATTCGAAACTTCGCCATACGCCCAGGGACTGACAGCTCCTCCGAACCTTTAGGGACTGAAAAAGCCGACGAATTCAACCGCGACTTCGCCTCGGTTGGTCCCCGCATTGCCACAGAGCTGAAGGAGCGTCATACTTGCAACGACATGCCTGATATCTCACACAAGCCGCCCCGTGTCATCTCCACAAACCTGATCCTACATCCTGTGACACTTCCTGAGCTTTCCAAATATCTGAATGAACTATCCTCTTCAAAAGCCGTCGGTGTCGACGGTGTACCATTGATTGCTATTAAAAACTGTTTTGCCGTTCTAGGACCACATCTACTTCATGTCATCAATGCGTCGATTGTCAACCGTGTCTTCCCGGCCGCTTGGAAAACGGCATTAGTAGTACCAATCCATAAGTCAGGACCGCGCCATGTCGCGAACAACTTTCGGCCTATTTCCATTCTACCAGTTCTCTCGAAACTGTGTGAAAAAGCAGTGTGTGCACAGCTCTCCGCGTATTTTGTCAAATGTGATTTGTTTTCTCCCTCACAATACGCTTACAGGCCGTGCCACTCGACCGAGGACGCCGTCCTTGATGTGACTGAGTGGACTTCGCGACGAGTCGATGATGGACATGTGGTAGCAATCACGTCATTGGATTTAAGCAAGGCTTTCGACAGTGTTGATCACAGTGTGCTCCTGATGAAACTCCAGTGGTACGGTGTTGACCCGACCTGGTTCAAAAGCTATCTTGTAGGGCGACGACAGATGGTGAGGGGCGGCTCTCTTTTCCTTCCTCTATCCCATGGGGTCCCACAAGGATCCCTCATTGGTCCGATTCTCTTTAGCATCTTTACAAACGACCTTCCATCCTATCTCCCCCACGGTCGTTTGGTATCTTACGCCGATGACACCCAGCTACTTGACTCAGCACATCCAGACGACCTATCATCTCTTAAATCACGCCAGGAGAACTCTCTCCTAGCCGTTCAGTCTTACTTTACTGCAAATTCACTAAAAATGAACCCCTCAAAGACCACTCTCTTGCTAATAGGTACCCCCAATTCTCTCAAGAAGACAACATCCTTTCATCTGAACTTTCATGACTTCATTCTAAAGCCCTCCCCGTCCGTTAAAATCCTTGGAGTTACCATCGATAGCAATCTAACATGGGAAGCTCATATATCCACCGTTGTTAAAAAGTGCAACTCCTTTCTCTTTTGTCTACACAAAATCCGCCATCATTTAAATGCTGATGCCCGTCAACTACTTATCCAGGCACATGTGTTCCCCTTAATCCTTTACTGTCTTTCCGTCTGGGGAGGAGCCACCGCAAACCGTCTGGGCCGCGTGCAGAAAGCTCTCAATTTCGCTGCGAGGATCGTCACGGGAGCGCGGCGTAGCGACCATATATCTCCGATTCTAACAGCATTAGGCTGGCGCACTGTCTCAGAGTTAGTTAACCGTCGCGACTGTATGGCCATACACCGGGCCTTGAATGACCTCCGCGCTCCTACTGCCACCCGCGCACTGTTTTCGTACCGGGCTGATGTCAGTGCGCGAACGACGCGCGCCAGCAGTACGGGGGTACTTGAGTTACCTGGTTTTCGCCTCAGTATGTCGCGGCGAAGTTTCTCCTACAGAGCGGCCGCAACTTGGAACCGCCTGCCGCAACAACTTAGGTCTTCTCGCACCCGTGCCCGTCTCACGGCTATGCTCGATGAACATGCACTGCCCTGAAATTTGTATCGTCTAATCGTCAATTTCGTCTTTGTCTCTGGTCACTCGTTCTCTGTTCTTTCTGTTGCACATGTACTTACTGATGTTACTGAACCTAACACGGATCGCACAATAAGCCACACACGTGGAATGATTCGTTAAATATATGAATGAATGAATGAATGAATCCGCATGCGATCCAGGGTACTCACACGTGTGGAGACACTCAACGATGGCGGTGGCGTCCACGTAGTATCCGCCACACAGGGGGCAGACCAGATGAGGCGTCAGCTCCGACAGAGCCACGGCCCTCTCCTGCCGCGTCTCGCCCGGCGCTGCCATTGCGCGCCTCTTACGCCCTGCAGACAGAGGGGGCGTTCCACGACAAATCGACAAATAAAAAATTAAATTTGCACCCTCATATTTTATTTTTCGTTGAAAACTGGTGTATGGGGTTGTGATGGGCGGGGAAGCCAGCTGTGGCAAGGATTTTTTTCTCCGAACAACGGTTTCCGAGATATAGCCTCGGGCAATTCCTGGAGGTCGCGCTGCAGCCCTATGTTTGGCGGCCTATAACTAAAAAACTTTTGGTTTTCTACGATAAAAACTTTATATGGTTCAACTCACAATCAGACAACAAACATTTTGGCTATCTCGGATTTTCATTTTTTGAAAATTTTGATCACGTGACCTTTTGACCTATTTTTCAAAGAGTGACCTTGATATTTTCCCCACTGAAAGTTGCAATTTTGTCTGATGACGATTAAAGCCTTATCGATTGTCATTCATATGCGAAAATAAAAAAAGTGGATATCGCCCTGCGTTGACCTCAGGTCAGGTCATTTTTATGACCTGTCCATTATTACGAGCGGGAGCGACAGTGAGATCTCGAGAATAAAGCAAGATAGCGACAAGCGGTAAACGTTGCAGGGTACAAACGGATAAGGTCTATAATTTTTACTGAGGTCATTTTCAGGTCAGGTCAAAGATGACGTCACAGGAGCAAAAAGGAAGTCAAAATAGCGGCACTACATATATATAAAGTTTTTCTCGAATAACTCTTAAGGTATCCCAGCTAGGAACAAACCAATAGCACCATCGTGATCCTCTCGTCGATCCGCATCGAAACATATGTATGTTGACCTCGACAGGTCGAAAGGTCAAAAGTTGACCTTAGGTCACGTGACGAGCGGGAGCGACAGCGAGATCTCGAGAATAAAGCAAGATAGCGACAAGCGGTAAACGGTGCAGGGTACACACGGATAAGGTCTATAACTTTTACTGAGGTCATTTTCAGATCAGGTCAAAGATGACGTCACAGGAGCAAAAAGGAAGTCGAAATTGCGGCACTACATATATATGAAGTTTTTCTCGAATAACTTTCAAGGTATCCCAGCTAGGAACAAACTAATAGCACCATCGTGATCCTCTCGTCGATCCGCATCGAAACATATGTATGTTGACCTCGAAAGGTCGAAAGGTCAAAAGTTGACCTTAGGTCACGTGACCTAAGGTCAACTTTTGACCTTTCGACCTTTCGAGGTCAACATACATATGTTTTCGATGCGGATCGACGAGAGGATCACGATGGTGATATTAGTTTGTTCCTAGCTGGGATACCTTAAAAGTTATTCGAGAAAAACTTCATATATATGTAGTGCCGCAATTTTGACTTCCTTTTTGCTCCTGTGACGTCATCTTTGACCTGACCTGAAAATGATCTCAGTAAAAATTATAGACCTTATCCGTGTGTACCCTGCACCGTTTACCGCTTGTCGCTATCTTGCTTTATTCTCGAGATCTCGCTGTCGCTCCCGCTCGTAATAATGGACAGGTCATAAAAATGACCTGACCTGAGGTCAACGCAGGGCGATATCCACTTTTTTTATTTTCGCATATGAACGACAATTTATAAGGCTTAAATCGTCATCAGACAAAATTGCAACTTTCAGTGGGGAAAATATCAAAGTCACTCTTCGAAAAATAGGTCAAAAGGTCACGTGATCAAAATTTTCAAAAATTGAAAATCCGAGATAGCCAAAATGTTTGTTGGCTGATTGTGAGTTAAACCATATAAAGTTTTTATCGTAGAAAACCAATAGTTTTTGAGTTATAGGCCGCCAAACATAGGGCTGCAGCGCGACCTCCAGGAATTGCCCGAGGCTATATCTCGGAAACCGTTGTTCGAAGAAAAAAATCCTTGTCACAGCTGGCTTCCCCGCCCATCACAACCCATTAGACCAATTTTAAACAAAAAATAAAATATGAGGGTGCAGGGCACTTGTCGATTTGTCGTGGAACGCCCCAGAGGGAAAGGGGACGTCGGCGTCAGGCGGTGAGCAACTACCACACCGTAATGGAAAACTGTGTAGTGATAGACTTGATTAGCATGATTACATCATGAGCCTAGCATGCTGGGAACTGTCATCTCTTACCAGGCCCATGGAAGGATTTATTTATGTAAAAACGGGTTATTTGGAAGGAATGTGTTCAGGAATATGCACGATAATCTGAATTCGTTTGCCGTGATGCTAGGAAAGGTCATCACACTATCGCAGTTTACATATTCGTACATCAGCTACTTGCCACATCACATTGAGGACTCCACCCTCAGTGTGCGCCTCAGGAACGAACCGTATCGCGCCAGGCCATCGCTGCAGTCGATTGCGAAATGGTCCGAGCTCGTGACGTGTGGCCGGTGCGCGGCGCGAGATCTGCGCCGCATCTGGCGCGCTGGCGTGGGAGCCACCGTCCGTGACGACGACGCCAGAGTGGCCCACGGCGCCGGACGCTCCTCACGAAAGGCCATTGTTCGTCGCCAGGCGGCGGCGGCGGCGACGCTTTTTTACCGGCGTGCACCGGTCGGCGGCGGCGGCGGAGCGGGTACGTTGACCGCCGCCGGCTCGCCACGCTCGTCGCGCCGCACCACGAAACCCATCTCGTCGCCGCGTGAGCCACGAAGGCGCATCGATCACAGAGTGATATCGACGCGACATGTCACCGCTCGATGGCGGATCGGCAGCCGGGGAAACGCGACTGAGCGCGGAGTAATTGGAAGTCCCGACTGACAGCGAGGCGGCCCGGACCGCGGGGGAGCCGGCCGACACGGATGATCGATCGGAGTGTCCCATCCGGTGGTGGAGACTCTCCGTTCGACCGCCGGTACCTGTGAACCACCGTAGGGTGGGCCTGGCGGCGAACACACTACACCAGGCACCTGTGCACTGTGCAGTGTGTGCACTAGCCGCGTCACCGCCCGGCTTTGGGCGCCACCGCGTCTGGCACTGCACGACACGTGTTCCAGCCGCGGTGTCAGGTGAACGGAGAGCGTGCACAAACAGGTGGGCGAGGATCAGGTGCGGCCGCGACCGTGCACAGTGTCGCAGGCGAGTCAAAACGGACCGTGTTCCGTGTCGCAGGCGAGTCACGACGGAGCTGAGCTGCTGGCGCCCACACAACAGGTCATTGTAAGCTGCTACCTTATAGATAAGCACTGGGCATCGCCGGCGTGTGCTGTCAAAGCTAAGCAAATGTGACAACAGGTTGCAGCGTTTACGAGAAGAGAACTGTCACTGGATGGTGCCATTTGTTGATTTGATGATCGGATCGGATCGGGCACATTTGGTTTCATGATACATGCAGTCATTCATGCATACATCATGATGACAGATGGATTAGCATGCACCCGACCCATGATCGAAAAGCGGTTCACCAAAATACGACATACAAACAAGATGGTCTGAAATAAATCGTGCTGAATGGTCCCTTATATGTGTAGTTAATGACAAACGATGACAATATTTGACGATATGACGATGACAATATGACAGGCACCGATTTGGGCTACGCTAGTCACGGTAACGCTTCGCTACAACTAAAAATAGATGAGTTAGGAGGTATCTCATAACACTGACAACCCCGCATACTGCATTAAAGCCATGGCATGACCTTATCTTCATTTGTTCAATATTAGTCCCTGTTCATCTTTGGAAAGGTTATATCAGCAAGAGGTCATAATTGAGGCTGGTATAGCATCCAACCGCAGAAAAAAGGAAGTTTAATTCAACTTGAATAAATGCGATGCGATTTGAAAGCTTTGAACTTTCACGGCCAAGAAGAATCGTTCAGCCGACGAACACATGTTTTGTAGAGTTCTTTCACTTCTCTCCAATTATCTGCAGATACTCCGCACACCATCCCGTCCCGCCACCGCCTTATTCCTCGGCGGCGGTGGCGGTACTTCTAAGGAAAACAGCCGGGAATGGAATCCAGTCAGCCACATTCCGACAACCGGCTCATCGGGTGTCGCTATACACTTGTGTCGCCAGTCATCATCCGATGCTGGTGTTCAGCCAGTCAGCGTCCAGACTGTGTGACTCTCCACCAATCTGTCTCGCCGCAGTCTGGCTCTTAGTCAGTCTGAGCTTAGACAGTCTGACTCTCAGTATGACCAGTCAGTCCATTGTTCGTTCAGCGTGGCTCTCAAACCGTTTAGATCTTAGCCAGTCTAAATTTAACGCTTTCAGTGTCAGTCACTCCGACCACTCACTCCATCACTCAGACAGTCTAGCTCTGAATCAGACAGTCTGTGACAGTTTCTCAGTCAGTCTGTGACCGTCGCGTTGTCAGCCTGTGTTCCAGCCCTCAGTCAGTACGTGTACGGTTATTCTGTCCGTCAGTGTTCCGAGCAGTCAGCCTATGTTTCGCAGTTAAGCAGCCTGTGTGTCGAAGCTACATGTCAGCTTGTGTGTCGATGCTGGGTCACACTGTGTTTCGAAGCTAAGCCTGTGCCGAAGCTACGTCCGCCTGTGTGTCAAAGCTATATCAGCATGTGTTTCGAAGCTGAGTTGGCATGTGTTTCCAAACTGTTTCTCCTCTCCGTCCGTGAGTCCTACTTCTGACTCTGTGAACTGTGCTCAAGTTCCGCTATAGGCCTTCATGTTCCGAAACTTCCTAGGTTTCGTGACTGTTGCGGAGTCATTTGTATTTGTAGTTCGTTTTATTGTTTGCGTTTTCACAATAAGCTGGTCTGTGACTGTGTATAGGTCTGCAGACACTGTTGACACTGAAAGATTAACTGCAATTTGCAATTCTCCGCAGTCTATGTGGTTCAGCGGAAGACAACCAAGCGCTGACGAATGTCCGTGCAACGCAAGCGGTGCCCGCATTTGTGGACAAACCGGACATTGCGGCTTGTAGATTTGCTGAAGTTTTCCAATGTGACGTTTCATTGAAGCTGAATGAGTGTGCTAGTTTGAAGGAAAGAAGCCTTATAAAATGTCACTTCAGTGTGTGACAAGAAGGCACAGATTCGTATCCCTTGAGACTTGTTAGCGTAGAAACATCAAAGATAGCTGTGTCCGGTTTCATAAAAACAACACCCAGGAAATGCACATAGCGACGAAACCATTTGGGGGACAGGGGAGTAGCAACACAGTAGCACTGATAGAGGTGTTGGGAAGGTGTCAAAGGGTCAGTCATCCCCTCATCTGCTCACCTTCATCGCCGGCCATAAAATTACCACACTGCCACATTTACCAGGTCTCCCCCACATAACCACACAATCAGCCGTTAAACCTACAGCAGCACACCATCAGACTCCCCGCCCATAACCCCAAACCACCCCGGTGCTACCCTCCTACCCCTCCCCACGCGGAGCGACCACGGGACCAGGCGCTGGCTTTGATCCGGACCGGCGCCATCTTGCGCCCAATCTCAGCCCGCACTAAAAACCAGCCCTAGAAAACGCATATTTCTCCAAAACCGCTACAGATACAGACTAGCAAATTACACCAGAACATACCTTGAAAGAAGCGCTAGGTGCTGGTATGCAGCCACAGGCGTAACTCGGTCGATTTCCGCCAATATTCTTGATTTTCGCAGGAGCTCCGCGCGTGCAGTCTCCCCTCCTCACTCTGCTTCACACTGCGTTTGTGGCGCCGGCGCGCCGATCACGTGACCAAAGGTCCCGGATGAGGTAGCGCGCCGGCTGGCGGGGCCGCGCGCGCAGCGCCGCGTAGTGAGGGTATTGATAAACAGGGATAGGACGGCCGGCAGGGGAACGAGGCTTTTGTTCGCTAAAATGGCAGTGGGGACTGAACGCAACCGACCATAGGCGGCGGAACGGGGAGGGCACCGGGGCACCGTGCCCCCTTTGATTTTGGCATTTTAACATTAGCCCTATGGGCGTTGCATGGAAAGAATGGGACCAAAAGTCGGCAGTGCCCCCCTTAATTGAGGGTGTTCCGCCGCTACTGCAACCGACAGCGGCGAAGGCTTGATGGATGGTGGCTACTGGAGTTGCATGGCGCCGGATAATCAATAATATCGATTGAAAAGGACAGCAACTGCCAACTATGTTCTCTTATCTCTAATTACTTATTTACAAAAGAAGCCAGCTACACTTAAATTCGAACACCTATGCATACCCTATACAGTATACACGGTAAGTAAACAGTACCTATGTATAGGTACGAACAGTAATGAACGCTTGGTCAGTTGTGCTCCTTTTTTCCTCTTGCATCAGCTTTGGGGAGATAAAAGGGATTATCTCAACTCAAATATAATGTTAAGCTGGGAGGGTCCCTTTAAGTGGCTCGCCATATCTTATACGGAACACAAAGTGGCGCCTGGTGTAGCAACCAGCAGCTGCATGTTGTTCAATGTGCGAGAAGATAGAGGATAATGTGGAAACCGAGGCCAGTCAATGGGTAACCTGGTCCGCTACCCATTGAAGGATTTCAAGAATCTCACTGGTACCCGTGACGATCTAACACTACATGACGAATCAGCTTTCCACAAAGAAAAGCAACCACGCGCGGATGAGTTCTTAAAAGGGTGACAGGGACAGAAAAGAATCACACGTCAAAAAAAAAAAAAATGCTGCCGTGAGCAGCGGGACTGAAAGAGCTTCAGAGGCGTTGGCGTCGGTCGTGGAAACCGTAGTTTGCGGCACTCCAGAGCATGCCTTTCGCCTTCGCGACCACCAGGATGATGGATCAATTGAATCGTTCGGAGCTTATCCGTCAACGACGAATGATTGGAACATGAGGAATGATAATGCTCTTGCGGCTTGGAATTAGTGGCGGTGACGCCTTCCTAGCAGCAAACGTGAGCCAAGTCCCCAGAAACACGACTTATCTGTCAAAAACAACCCACAACGATTCTTGCTTCGTCTACATGGATATGATTAAGGAAGCGACTTTAGCTTGCTGCCACATGTCTCCATTCTTGTGCCCAAGTGCTGACGAAACCACCGATCGGGCAGCAAGAGAGCAGCTGATGCCGAACATTGGATACTTGGCCGAGACTGATGAGGGAGGTTTTCGTATCAGGGAAGATCCGGTGGTTCTTTTGGATGTTTTAGACGAAATGAACGTGAGCGCGGAGAAACAAGTTATAGGTGCACACGTCGGTGGTGTGGGGCGCGAGAAGAAGGTAGACTTGCAGCGCCCTTGGCATGACAGCAATGTCTATAGAAAACGTATGGGAGTTGTTGCCGAGGTTAAGAAGGTCGCATCGCAGGCTGAGTATTTCCGCTGCGCGTCTCACGGCTTCAACCTTTCGACATCGAAGAAGAAGATGACGAAGTCCGTGGGGCAAGAAGCGCACTGGGAGCTTTCGAAGTCATTACGGAGCGAGCGAAGCGAGCGTAGTCTTTCCTTAGATTAAGGCCGCGTTCCCACTACGACCGTTCAACATCGTAAATTGCAAGAACGGGAGAAAACGGACGAGATCGTTGATCTAGAGACTTTTCTAAAAAAAAGTTGAACACTTCCCTAGATCTGGTATACGGGGCAAGATGGGGAAACATCGTGAGACATCGGCAAACGGCTTGGACAAAGCCGGTTGAGAGGAGCGATGATGAAGGAGGGATCGGCACAATAAGCTATTGTAAAAAAATCAGAATATAGGTAGTTGACGTGGTAAAAGATCCCATGCAACTGAATGAATGATAAAATTAGAAAAACTTAAAAGTTATCAGCGTGTTGAAAGTACGCGAGCATGAGAAAACCTATCAACAATGTCAACGAAAAGCATTCACGGCTGTGATAACGCCAATCTATTGACTTTTGAAGAGAAAATGTGTGCAGTTGATATAACTCATTGTGGTTTTGCTGTGAATACCTTCGGGAAGCTGTAACCGATAAATTGCAAGTTCCGATGATTTCTTAACCCGCGCCCGGCTGGGGGTCCTGGATTTCCACGCCCTGCTGGGGGGGGGGGGGTGTTTGAACACCCCCCCCTTCTAACTCGGCTCCTGGGCCACGTAGCGATACGCGGAAGGCGGCGTTCGAAAGAGCGTCAAAAATAATGAGGAAATCACTTCGGTCAATTTTTTGGTCAGGTCAAAGGTCAGGTCACCAGAGGTCATTGAAGGCAAAATTTCGCCGATTTCCAGGTCGAATGTCGACAATTTCCAAGAAGCCAACGCATAACTCGGGAACCAATAGAGCTACAGCGCCGCGGAAAAGCGCATTCGATAGCCCTAATAGCGCCCTTTCTGAATAAGTTTCTCAGATTTGACCTAACGTCAACGGTTTTGCCTGCAGGGGGCAAAAACTGCAAAAAAACCGATTTTTTCGGAAACAGTTTTTTCTGCAATAACTTTTGACCCAAGCCTTGTACGAGCTTACTTTTACCGGCATCGTGTTCCTCTCGTCAAGACGCATTGAATGAACTATAACTTGACCTTGAAAGGTCAACTTGAAAATTTGACCTCAGGTCAAGGTCATGACCTGACCGGAAAGGGTCATGTTGCATATCAGTCGATCCGTATCGTCGAGCTGAACACATCTAAGGCGTTTTCATCGCTCTAGCATGCCTCTATCAAAAGTTATTTGCGAAAAACTGTTAGATACCATTCGTGACCAAAGATGACCTCAGGGCATAAACAGGGGTCACGGACACCATTTTCATGTTCAGTGTGTCTAAACCACTTGTAATTCGGTGTTTGGGAGCGTTTATAATGTCTTTCGTCCAAAAGAAGCGCATTTCAATTTTCTCCCATTGACTTATAATGGGGAGGTCGCAAAATTGACCTGACATTAGGTCATCGATGTCAAAATTCTGAGATATACATTTTGTACATGCTATTGCTCTTAGCAATCGCTGAAAGTTTCAAAGCGATCGGTCACTCGGTGTAGCTATGACAGACATTGAAACTTTTTATGAGGTGAGGTCACTTCAAGTGACCTGGTGACCTGACCTTGAATGACCTTGGTTTGAAATTTTCACAACATGTGTAGAATTGATGTATGATAAGGTGTACCAAAAACGGCGGCGCTCCGCGCCGCCGTTTTTGAGATATTCGCGAAAAACCACAAGGGGGGGGGGGTGTTCAAACACCCCCCCAGCAGGGCGCGGGTTAACAGTTTATTGTGGCAATCCTCGATAAAACATCTAGCAAGTTGAAGCAGGCTGCAATGCAACTGAATTCGTCGACACAGGTTCAGCGATTTAGGTTTACGAGTACAAGTATATGGAGCCGGCATTCCAACTTACAGCAGTGTCACAGCTCATGTCACCATCATCATGTGACTACGCCATCTCGTCAGGCGATGCTAGAATTGTATAAAGGCAATTATACTAATATCAACTGAACAGACGAGAAACACTTATGAGTTCAGCAAGGAAACTGACGCCGTGTGCTCAATGAAGATAAACGAGTGTATTCGAGCACAACGGTTCACAGCAGATGGTGGCAACTGTCGATGTTTGTCTGACAGCTCTGCAGTGTGGCGTGGCATTACAATGCAGCGGTCTTCCAGAGGAGAGCTTGGTCTAAGCGTTTGAGATCCCAAGCCTGTCTACCTGAATCTACGATGCAACTCTTGGTAGCTGGCGCGCAACTGGGTGGCTACTTTATCTATCTCCGAGATTCTGAGTTCCGGAGCGGTGCTACGAAAAGAGGGAGATGAAGTGCAAGTCGCACCTGTTCTGACATAGCGAGGATCATTCGCTCAAGAGTCGCAGGCATGCGATGTGCATAACAAGGACCAGACAGCCCAATGACAATCACATGCTTCGCATGTGGTCGTCCCAATCACATGGCGCGGTCCAGATGGCCTTGATCCAGAAGACACTGTGATTGTTTGAGCCTCGAATGAGGCCCTCAGTGACGATCCGACGGCGGAAGCTGCGTGTGTTGAACGAGGAGTGGCCGCCCTTTTGAGGTCATAAGTGAGCGACGACGCCGGTGGCCACGATTGTCGGAAACTCTGCCTTAAGTTTCATAAGAGCAAGTGCTGCTACAGCTATGTATCACTGTTAGATGATGTAAATAAACGTTTGTTATTTGCGCCGCATTTGCAGTGGCATGACATTATTTTAAGATTATTATTTTCCAGGCGCTGATGGTAGGTAAATGAATAAATTGCACTAGACCTACGGTAAACCTGCCGAAAAGTTGTTATTCATCGCCACTTAGCGCTCGCCTACATCTACATATGCATATAATTAGAGTTATATAGCCTTTATCCGCAAAAATGCACCACCTTTCATGCCTTGCTGCTTGTCTTCTCACTTTGAATATCAAGAAACTTCCCAAAGAGGGCTTCCTGCTCTATGCACTGCTTAAAAATGCTTATTAGTGTCATTTAATATCTGCACAAACCTTCAAGAACGTTCAAAAAGTTGAACATTGTTTAACTTTTTGGCGACCTCACCAACCAACCAACATGATAGCTGTTCACACGGGCGGTTGTCGGCCGCCAGCTAAGCCATCTAGATGGCCTGGGCAATGGCGGTCTCAGGCACTCCACAGTCGGTGCCAGTTCAGCACTGTGTTAACCTTCCAGGCGGTGGGGGGGGGGCAATTTTTTGCCCCCCCTTTACTTTTTTCGATATATCTCGAGAACCGCTGCGCCGATCGTCACCAAACTTTCAGTACCCTCCCGGGAGCAGCTAGCGCACATGGT